GCTGTTTGAAAAAATGGAAGGCGTGGTGAGTAGAAAAGACTTTTGAGGTAGAGTAGTCCTCCCTTATCCGTGATGGACACGTTCCAAGACCCCCAATGGATGCCTGAAGCCACGAATAGTACTGAACCCCATACGCTTGGACTTTGGACCAATTCTTTGGTCAACTATTGACCACGTGTAACTGAAATCCAGAGAGCAAAACCACATATTGGGGGAAAGGAGACTACGTTATCCAGTCAGCCCTCTGTATCCATGGATTTTTCATCCATGGATTCAAACATCTATCTATCTATCTATCTATCTATCTATCTATCTATCTATCTATCTATCTATCTATTCCAAAAAGCAAACCTTGATTTTGTCATTTTGTATAAGGGACACCATTTTACTATTGCACTGTATTTAATGGGACTTGAGCATCCACGGATTTTGGTATCCACGAGGGGTCCTGGAACCAAAACCCAGCAGATACCAAAGGCCCACTGTATTTTTGGACCATGGCTGACCACTGGTAACTGAAACTACAGAAAGCAAAACTGCAGATAAGGGGAGGGTTATGTTATATTTTTGGACCATGGCTGACCATGGGTAACTGAAACTATGGAAAATGAAGCTGTGGGTAAAGGGTGGAGGTATGGGACTATGTTATATTTTTGGACTGTGGCTGCAGTAACTGAAACTAAGGGTGAACTACTGTATTTCAGGGAGGCTAATGGACTCTGAAGACCAGGGTTTGATTCCCCACTGGGTGACCTTGGGCAAGTCACACAGTCTCAGCCTCAGAGGAAGGTGATGGCAAACCTCCTCTGAACAAATCTTGCCAAGAAAAGCCCATGATAGGTTTAGATAGATTTGCCTTAGGGCCGCCTTAAGTCGGAAACAACTTGAAGGCACACAACAACAAGTAACTATGATAATTCCAATGTGATTCTGCTGGAACGTAATATTTTTTTAGTGACAACAGTTTTGTGTGTGTGTGTGTATGTGTGTGTGTGTTGATTTCTACATTGTTACATTTTGGTATTTATTTCATTTTCGGATTTATCTCATGCATTTTATACCCCAGTTATATCTGGTACCTCAAATGTTAGCTGGAAACTTTTTTTCTTATTTCTGTTCCAGCTGACATAACATGATTATCACTGCAGAAAAAATGTTGAAGAATTACAGTAAACAGCATTTTAATCACGGAAGAGCAATAGTTTCAACTTCAAAGGAATCTTGCCCTTCCCTGTCGACTCAGGCAAATGCAAACTGCTGCAGCCTCCCTTGGCTCATATGTTTGTCCTTATTACCAACCTTTTTTTTGCCATCTTGAGCCCACTCTGATGTTGCTTGGCCCCATGTGTCTCAGTTTTCATCTGTGAAAGGCTGGAAGGTATGCACTTTTAACTTTAATGATTTCATCCAGGGAAATCCTGGGATTTGCAGTTTGTTATTATTCTTGTGTGCCTTCAAATAGTTTCTGACTTATGCTGACCCTAAGGCAAACCTATCACAAGATTTTCTGGGGCTGAGATGGTGTGATATACCTAAGGTCACTCAGGATGTTATCACACGGGGAGTCGCAGGGAGAAAGTGGAAATAAACGGGCACGAGCAGAAGTCTTTAATTTACAGGATTTGTCCCGTTCCGCCTCATCTGATAACTAAAATAAAAGGGGGTTAATTTGAACAAAAACCTGATCTTTTCATTTTCGGGATTTTTGAGGATTTGAAAAGATCAGGTTTTTGTTCCAATTAACCCCCTTTTAAATTTGAATTTAGTTATCAGACGAGGCGGAACGGGACAAATCCCGTAAATTAAAGTCTTCGGCTCGTCCGGTTTATTTCTGTAGTGTTTCTGTAGTTGAACAGAGAATTGAATACTGGTCTTCAGCATTGCAGTTCAACACTCAAACCACCATACCATTGTAGTTTGGGGAGGGACATTTGGCATTCTTAGCCAGAGAGCTCCCATAGGATTCCAGGATTCCCATAGGATTCCAGAATGGGATTCCAGGATTCCATGTGATGGCATCATGACAGTTGAAGTGGAATTATAATGCTATACTTCTGCAGTTTGAAAGGTCCCAGGGATCTTCTGAAGTCTTTAACCTTGGCAGAATCCCTCATCTCATGTAATTTAAGGCAGGTCTCATATGCATTGTGTGCTCTGGCTAGTTTGGAGCTCCCCTGAAAAACTGAGTGGGCTGTCCTATATCATTCTTTGCAAAACCTGGCAACTTTCAGTGGCCCCAAGAGCCCTTTCATAGCTCCTGTGACTTTATGGGGAGCCATACAAACTTCCAAGAAACGCCCCTGAAGTGTTTGAAAGTGAGTTTTGTGGGTATCTTTTGATACTAAACAATGTAGCTCCCCTGATTGAAAATGCAAACTGCTGCCCACATCCAGAAAAATGGAAGCGCAGAGAATCAAGCAGGGTTAAGGCCAGAAAAATAGCTGCGAGGGCAATATCCCCAGCCCCAGCCCTGTTTTAGGTTGATCTAAAAAGCATTCAAGAGATAGGACAGATATTGCAGAATCCAGTAGATTCCTTCTCTTAAGTATTTTTTTTCTTTTTTGAAAATACATCCATATTCAACAATCATACAATAACACAAATCACCTACAATCCATATCCCCACACAATCCCCCCACCCCTATACATACATCATACCTAACATTAATTACATTTAAAAACATTTAAAGACAAACAAACAAAAAAGCATCACACGTCTAAAGAATATTGAATTGATTTTCTTCCTTCCCAATCAGAAATATACCTTAATTATTTCTTCTAGTGTAAGTCTCCATATCTTAATTCTCTCTAGTAGTTGCTATATCTTTTTAGTTTTTGTATTCTAATTCTAAGAATATGGATATATTAGCAGCTTTGATACAGAATAAATCAGTTGGAAAGATAGAGGAGGAGTGGCATAAGATAATGGCTCTATGGAATGAAAATTGGGAACCTACAATAAGAGAAATAGGATAGTTTATAAATGATAAAATATATAATCAGCTCAGAAGAATCAGAACATATGCGACCAAAAGTCAGCTATTTTTCTATAATAAAAGTTT